ATACATGTAACCATTGCTAATTGTTTTACTAATGAATAGTTCTTTTAAGCACTACATGGGCAAATCACTGAAACTCAAATAAGGACTACATCATCCAATATACACGTTACATATATATATATATATATATATATATATATAGTTACAATGAAAGTTGCAGTGCTGTGCCTTTAGTAAATAAGTAAATAATATAAGTATATAAAGTGTTTAAAATAAATAAATATATAAATTTAAAATAAATAAATGTCAATTAAAAAAGGGACATTTTCTTCCAGATGTTTGAGTGATCTCAGCTTTACCTTAGTTACTGAGTTCAGTGAAAATTCACTTTGCAAAGTGATCTTTAGTAAATCATTTTGTCACTGTTGTTACCCATCAGTTGTCATATCAGTTGTCATTCTTATTGCTCAATAAAAGTTCTTTTTTTTAATCTCTAAAATTTAGAAAATATGGTGAAACTGTATCTACTTTGAATAGCCCCCCCAAAAAAGGATATTTTTTATATAAGATGATGAAGTGAACCCTACTTTATCTAGTAACTCGATTAATGAAATTAGTAAGGCTGGAGCAGGCAAAAGTTGAAGCAGCTGTGCATGGCAGCCAATCAGTTTCTATCTTTCATTCTCAAAGCTTAACTTAACAAGCTGAAGTTAGAAGCTGATTGGTTGCCAGCAATAGCTGCTCCAAATTCTGCCTGCTCCACTTTTGATAAATTCCTGACAGTGAACGTTCACTTTGCAAAGTGATCTTTAATAAATCATAATGTCACTGTTTTCACTTATCAGTAGTCACTGTTACTGAACACTAAGATTTTTTTCTGTATCTCCAAAGTGTATCTCTAGAGTTTAAAAAATAACATGAATCTATTTACTTTGTGTATCCAATCATGTACAAAATCAAGATATTTTATTTCCAGTATTTTGGGTGATGAAGGGATCACAGCTTCATTGAGTTCAGTGAGCATTCGTTGCAAAGGAATCTTTAGTAAATCATATTGCTACTGTTGTCACTTATCAGTTGTCATATCAGCTGTTACTGTTTATTTATTATTCTATTTATTTCAGGTACTTATATAGCGCCATCAATTTACGCAGCACTTTACATATATATTGTACATTCACATCAGTCCCTAACCCTCAAGGGGTGTACAATCTCAGGTTACACTGTTATTGCTTTTATTATTTTTCTACTCAAAGCGTATCTCTAGTGTTTAGAAATAAAGTTGTATCGACATTAAATACCCTATGATGTGCAAACAAAATTATATATATATATATATATATATATATATATATATAAAAAAATATAATTTAAAAAAATTATTATTTATTTATTTATTTAATTATTTTTTCTTCCAGATGTGGGTGTTGAAGTGATCACTGTCTCATCATATTTACTGAGTTCAGTGCCTATTCACTTTTCCAAAGTGATCTTTAAGAAATCAATCCCAATGTATCAGCTGTCACTGTTGTTGCTCAATAAACCTTTTTTAGTGCTCCAACACAAAATGAATGAGACCTGGACACACAAATCAAGCATTCTATTTTACAGATATTATGGACTATCATGTTACACAAACTATGTCCATGGATTGACAGTGTTTGTGCCATGCAACAATTCTTCATGGTCTCTATCAGTTGTGCATTTCACTATGAGTGTCTTGTGGCTTTAGTGTTGAAGTTATATGACAAATGATAAATGTGGTGCATTTATTCTGAAAGTTCTAACACACAAATTAATCATTGTATATCTTTTGACTTTCTTGTAGCAGTGATTAATATGTACTGCAGTGTGCTTCAGTGTTCCAGCTGGATATAGCTGGATATACGAGGAGTGTTCAAGTCAAACCGAGAATTTTACGTTTATATAATAAAAGAACACATTTCAAGGAGTGTAAACTGCATTTATTTTTTTTTACATACTCCCTTGCTACATATATAGACTTATTCCAGCATTTAACTAATGCCTGGAAAGTTTTGGCATAGAAAGATTTGTAAGTACACCTGAACCATCCTAGGACAGCCTGCTTCACTTCATCATCATTGTGTTCACCATTCCCACAATAAATATTTGTCTCTTGTGCAATTTCATGAGAGGTTATTAGTCGATTATCCAGGATCAGGTGTTCCACATGCTGAATGTTCACAGGAATGACTGCTGTGGGCTGGGAACCACCATGGCCGGGATCGTCACTGATGGCCATCTTTGAAACATTTACACCATTCAAATGTCTTACTGTGGCGGAGCGTCTTATCACCGTACTGTGCTTGAAGTCTTCTGTAGATATCACCACAAGCTGTTCCACTCACTCACTAACACTGTCTGCCATCTTGATTAACGGTCGCTGGACTGCGACATGTGCGCCGCCTATCATTGATAGAACACACTTGCCACCAAGGGCGGACTGACCATTTGGAAACTCGGGCACTGCCCAAGGGGCCGGGGTCAGTAGGGGGCCCCATGAGATGCCCCTGGTACCTTTTTTATTGGCTTTTTTGAGTTTGGGCAAGGACACAGGGGCCCCATGATCCCTTATTGCCCGGGGACCCCATGAGTTGTCAGTCCACCTCTGCTTGCCACTTACTACTGCATGTAGTACTGCCACACTTTTTATACCTGTAAAATTAAAGTCCCAGTTTGTCTTGAATGCCCCTCATATATTTACATGGAAATGTACAATAAATATGTAAAGTGCTGCGTAAATTGACAGCGCTATACAAGTAACTGTAATAAATAAATAATAATAATATTAAATGTAATTACTTTGTTCCTGTGTCTTTTTTTAATATATTTTCATTACCATGTTGGTCATTTGGCAAGCTTCCGGATGTTATTTGGCCATTCCATCTCCCACATCTGCCATCAGGTAAATCAGCAAAACATATTACCCTCTTCATGACAGGGCATTTTTTTTTGCTATTCAACACTGTGCTACTTTAACTGGCAATTGCACGGTCATAAATATAAATAAACAGCGCAAACATAGACCTCTATATCAAATCAATATACAAAGTGCAAACATATATAGAAAATTATATTAATAGTGAAGTCCATCATGGTTAATAGACAACAAAAAAAATTGCACGGTCATGTAATACTGTACGCAAATTACATTTATATAATTTTTCTCACACAAATAGAGCTTTCTTTTGGTGGTATTTGATCACACTGGGTATTTTATTTTTTATTATGTAAACAAACAAAAAAAAAAACCCTGAAAATGTATGCTATAAAACATATCCAATAACATTAAAAAAAAAAAAAATCAAATTTCTGCATAAAATTTAGAACAGAATGTATTCTGATACATGTCTATGGTAAAAATAAATCCCAATAAGTGTATATTAGTCGCTTTGCAGGAAAGATATGGTGTCTACAAACTATGGTATATATACTGGATTAAAAAAATAAAATAAAAAAAAAAAATATATAAAATATGTATACTAGTAATGGCAATGATCAGCGACCTATAGTACGGCGGGCAATCTAGCACTAACTGACACTGTGTGGGAACTGGCTAACTTCCACTGACTCTAGTACAGTGCTAATAATATACACTGTCACTGTACTAATGACACAGGCTGGGAAGGGGTTAACATTTAGCAGCAATCAAAGGCTTAACTGTGTGCCTAATAATGTTTAGTGTGTGTAGTATGTTGTTTTTACTAAGCAATCTGCTGTTTTTTCTCCCTGCCTTGCAGGGAGAGAAAAAAAAGTCAGCACACCTGTCTGTAGAGAGCCCTGTGTCATTTACCAACAAAGCTTCTGTTATTGGCTCAGCCGAGGGTCTTGGCCATAAATCATTGGTGGGCTACCGCTGAATGGCTTATGCTGTTGTGAAGGACAGCACAGCTGGGGGCGGTGGGTGCACGTGTGCACCTACCAGGAATGTCTGGAAATACGTGATCCAGCACACACCCCTGTTGCAGTATATGTAAAGTGCACGGTCCACAAGCAGTTAAAGTAGAACTAAATCCAATACTTTTTTTTTTTGATAGCGTATGAGAGGATTATAACCCCAATCATCTTTTTGCCATCTATGTCCCATTGGGGAGATTTCCCTTCACTTTCTGCCCCATAGTCACAACAGGCAGTGAGAGGAAATCCCTCCAAATTGAGAGAAATTCCTTGTTTGTCCCAAAAACTGGTGTCTCCATTGGAAGATTTTCCCTCTCATCCTATTCTGGTGACAACCTAAAATTTGGGATTTGCTTTCACTATCACTCATGGTGATGGTGGTCACATGACAAATAGGGAGGGAGGATCTCCCTAACGGGGCCACAGACAGCAATAATAACCTGACAAATTCTAATCCCTCTCCACTCTATCCAAAACAACAAAAAACGATTTAGCTCTAGCTATAATTTAAGTATTATATTTCTGTCATTTTTCAGGTACTTGTACAGTAATAATAATCTGAAAGAGTTTCTAACTTTATCAATTGTCCCAAAATACAAGTAATCTGACATGAAATATGGGAAGCTCTCCAAAAGCCTAATGAGATTTTATCTGTTTTCCACTTTTCCACAAAGTTTTTGAAAGGAGTTAGGCTCCAAGCTGGCTATACATACAGAATTTTTCACGGAATGGGGGAGATTTATTAAAACTGCATGGTAAAAAATATGGTGCAGCTGTGCATAGTAACCAATCAGCTTCCAGGATGTATTGTTAATTGAAAAAGCTGAGGTTAGAAGCTGATTGGCTACCGTGTACAGCAGCACCAGATTCCAAGTGCACCATTTTTAGTAAATCTACCCCAATGGCAATCATTTTCAAGCAAACTTTAATTGCATCAAATAAATGAGATCAAGGCAACCTACCAACAACAGTTTATTTTGTTTCATTAGAAACTGTTGTAGGTTACTTTGGTCTATTTGGTTGTTTAGCATTTCAAAATTATTTGAAAATGCCTGAAAATGTTGAGTGCATAGCCAGCCGTAGACTAGAAGAAGGATACAATGACAAAGAAGAGAGCACTGAAGGTCAGATAGTCACCCTAGCAGGGGCGGACTGACCATTTGGAAACTCGGGCACTGCCCGAGGGCCCGGGGTCAGTGGGGGCCCCCATGAGATGCCCCTGGTACCTTTTTCATAGGCTTTTTTGAGTTTGGGCAAGGACACAGGGGCCCCATGATCCCCTATTGCCCGGGGGCCCCATGAGTTGTCAGTCCGCCCCTGCACCCTAGCGTTTGGTAGTCATGTCTTCCATGATAAGTCAAGGTGCTCTTGATGCCACACCTTCTTTTATTTACATTACTAATACTATTTATGATGTACCCAACTCATATTGGTGACTAGGACATGGGAACCAGTGTAGGGGGCTGTCAGAGGAGGGTGATCTCACAGAAGAAGGGTCACAGAAGCTGAGCTTCTGAATATTCATATTTCTATACCAGGTAGGGTTATAGCTCCACACAGTAGGCTCTGGTTTATGGACTTTTGTCTACTTGGTGGAGGAGAATTTGCTGATTTTGAGGAATTCATAATGTTATTGCAGTCTGCTGCTGGGCCAAGACATCAACATTGGTGAGACGTTGTCAGAACTTCCTTCCTGAATTTGCCAAGAAATACATGCACATTCTACTTCTAAGTTGAACATTTTTTAATATTACAAAACCTAAAAACAAGAAGATTGAATATGAAAGATTATTTTACCAATGCTATGGGTACTTTCCTTTCTCTAGCATTGTACATTGCCTCACCATACTGCTTTCTCTTTTAGAGCTATATGATGCTGCCAGAGAGAGTAATGAAAGCTGTAGTGCGGTGTCTGGGGTAATGGAGTGCAGTGTTTGGGGTTTTGGGAGGTAGACAAAATCTGAGTTAGGAAGGCAGTAGTAGGGGAGTGGGGGGTGCAGTGGTAGTGGTGCTCTCTGGAAGAAAGGTGCAGTGTTTGGGGTACAGTATCAGGGGTTCTAAGAGATTCAGAGTCAAGAGTCCAGTGAAAGGGGTGCTAGGTGAACAGTGTCATGGATGCCGAGAGATTCAGAGTCAAGGGTGCAGTGGTAGGGGTACTAGTTGAAAGAAAGGTGCAATGTCTGGGGTGTTGGGGTACAATGCCATGGATTATGAGAGATTCAGAGTCAAGAGTCCAGTGGTAGGGGTGCTAGGTGAAAGAAAGGTGCAGTGTCTGGGGTGTTGGGGTACAGTGTCAGGGGATATGATAGATTCAGAGTCAATGCTGCAGTGGTAGAGGAGCTGGGTGAAAGAAAGGTGGGGGTGTCTGGAGCATTTGGGTACAGTACTATGGATTATGAGAGATTCAGAGTCAAGGGTGCAATGGTAGGGGTGTTGGGTGAAAGAAAGGTGCAGTATCTGGGATGTTGGGGTACAGTGTAATGGATTTTGAGAGATTCATTGAGAGTCAAAGGAGCCGCGGTAGGGGTGCCAGGTGAAAGCGTGCACATGCCTTGAGTTGTGGTGCATTGCATTGAAAAAAAAAAGAAGGAATACTGCTTTTTTTCTTTTATAATAGCTACCTTAAAGCGACACATGCTACCTTGTATGTAGTAGTGCACCACAATGGCAGCGTATAGTGTCAAGGGGGCCATATTATTTTGTTTAGTACATGCATTGCTGCATGTGTGATGTGGGAACTATGAGAATTTGGGAGGGGGCTTCCAGAAATGGCAGGTAGTATGTGCTTTCCATATGTTTTACGTAACTTCCAGCTTATAAAATATGAGCTGCTATCTTATAGGTTTGGAATTGTAGTTGATATGTTTTAAAGTGATTGTAAATGCTCACCTTGTAAAACAACCCATTCAGTTTAAAGTCCCATTCAGTCCCGATCTGCATCTCTTCCTACCCAGGGGCGCACTGAGCATTTGGAAACTCGGGCACTGCCCAAGGGCCCGGGGTCAGTAGGGGGCCCCATGAGATGCCCCTGGTACCTTTTTCATAGGCTTTTTTGAGTTTGGGCAAGGACACAGGGGCCCCATGATCCCCTATTGCCCGGGGGCCCCATGAGTTGTCAGTCCACCCCTGTTCCAACCCCCGCCTGCTATGAGAATGACATTGGTGGCAGGCTTTAGGCCCAGGAGAGGACACCCGAGAAGGATTAGTGCATCTGCCCTGCCTAAGGTAAGATGGGACTGTGCAGGGGAAAGCTTGCAGTAAAAGGGGCTCTGTGTTGTGTTAAGGGGCACTGTGTTATGTTAAGGGGCACTGTGTTGTGTTAAGGGGTGCTGTTTTATGTTAAGGGGAGCTGTTTTATGTTAAGGGGAGCTGTGTTATGTTAAGGGGTTCTATGCTGTGTTTCATTAAGGGGTGCTGTGTTATGTTAAGGGCTGCTATGTTGTGTTAGGGGTACTGTGTTGTGTTAAGGGGCACTGAGTTGTGTTAGGGGCACTTGGTTGTGTTAAGTGGCACTGTGTTGTGTTAAGGGGTGCTGTGTTATGTTAAGGGGAGCTGTGTTATGTTAAGGGGTTCTGTGCTGTGTTTCATTAAGGGGTGCTGTGTTATGTTAAGGGGTGCTATGTTGTGTTAGGGGTACTGTGTTGTGTTAAGGGGTGCTGTGTTGTGTTAGATGTGCCCATTGTTGTGTTAATGGGTGCTATGTTGTGTTAGATGTGTTGTGTTAGGGGCACTTGTGTGTGTTAATGGGTGCTGTGTTGTGTTAGGGGCACGGTGTTGTGTTAAGGGGTGGTGTGTGTGTTAGGGGCACTTTGTGTGTTAGGGGTACTGTGTTGTGTTAAGGGGCCCGGTGTGTGTGTTAAGGGGTGCTGTGTTGTGTTAGGAGCACTGTGTTGTGTTAGGGGCACTGTGTTGTGTTAGGGGTGCTGTGTGTTAGGGGCACTTTGTTGTGTTAGTGGCGCTGTGTTGTGTTAGGGCCCTGTGTTGTGTTAAGGGGCACTGTGTTGTGTTAAGGGGTGATTGTGTGTTAGTGTTAGGGGCACTTTGTTTGTTAGGGGCGCTGTGTTGTGTTAAGGGGCACTGTGTTGTGTTAAGGGGTGCTGTGTTTTGTTAAGGGGTGATGTGTTGTGTTAAGGGGTGCTGTGTTTTGTTAAGGGGCGCTGTGATTTGTAAAGGGGCAATGCAATGTAAAGGGGGGCAGTGATGTGAAGGGGAACTGAGTACACTCTGAGACTTCTTTGAAGAGGGGACTGTGATGTGGAGGGGACTACAGTGTGAAAGGTACACTAAAGAGGATAATGTATCGGGGGACTGCAATGTGTTATATCAGTAACAAGATTCGGACCTCTGCTGGAAGGAACTTTTGCTGACCAGACCTCCGTAAATTTTAATTCAAGACCCTTGCTTTAGAATAATACCACCTACTGCTGCTTTCAGGAGTGTCGGTGATCTCAGGGTTTGTACAGACAATGGACTTGTTTTCAATATGGTCTCCCGTACATTAGGATGACTGCTGTTTTAATCCAGTAGTAAGTTTAGACAGGTAGGACAAGGATGATAATCAGCCAGGAGGCTCCCAGGGCAGATTGCACAGTGACATTAGAGGTCAGCCAGCATTCAGCAATCTGACAATATTTGTAAACATTCTATTCCTTGAGATCCTCCTAATCAGCAACTGACCAAGTTAGTGGAAGTCTGAGTAAAGGTTACTTCTTTCCATGGACCATGATTGAAGATCGAGTTACATCTAATGGCTGCCTAGTATTTGTGCTGCCTCCCGCACATTAAGCCACTGGCGTGCCAAGCAAGACTGATTGTTCCAGCATGATGTGGATCAGTGAGGTCCTGGCGGCCTGTCAGTTGCTGTCACTGCACTGAAAAATGGGATCGGTTAAAGCTGAAATCAGGCAGATATAAAAGAAGCAGATTAAAACGGCTTGTATTTATAAATACATTATTACATGTATTTGTTTTAATGCAGGGGGTAAGTGAAGCTGGATTTGACTTGGTATCAGCCCCTTGCAGTCCCCTGTACAGTGGGAGCTCAGACTGGGAGAGGAATATGCTGAGCAAGAAGCCAGGTGTGTTGCAGTTCTTATATAGAAACAAGGAAAATTCTGATAGAGGAATGAGGGGCTCATTAGCCTGCTGTCCAGTCACAGGTCGGGGTAGGGATGGAGTCTGTAAGCATTACTGAACCACAGCAGCAGAAAAAAAAAACACGTCTCCTGCCCTGCCAGACAGGGTTGTGCTGTGTGGCAGAGCTGTGAAAATCTAGATGGACAGAAATACAAATCCTTTCACAGGTTAAAAAAGCTATAAATATATTTTAATATATTATATATATATATATATATATATATATATATATATAAAAAATATTATTATTATACAGGATTTATATAGCACCAACAGTTTGCACAGCGTTTTATAACTTGAAGGCAATCAGTACTGTTACAATATAATTCAATACAGGAGGAGTCAGAGGGTCCTGCTTGTTAGAGCTAACAATCTTTATATATTAATATTTATATACATATTACTGTAATATATATTATTTATATTATTATTATACAGAATTTAACTAGCGCCAACAGTTTGCGCATCGCTTTATAATAAAAAGGGAAGACAGTAAAGTTACAATACAGTTCAATACAAGAGGGACAGAAGGGCCCTGCCCCTGAGAGCTTACAATCTAATAGGGAGAGGCTGGTGGAACAAAATATAATAACTGTGAGGGATTAACTGATGGGAGAAATAGAAAATTTGGTTATTAGCTGAAGGCAGGATAGGCTTCCCTTAAGAGATGTGTTCTCAGGGATTGCCTAAAAGTGGACAGAGTAGGAAATAGTCAGACAGATTGAGGTAGGGAGTTCCAGAGGATGGGGGAGGCTCTGGAGAAGTCCTGGAGATGAGCATAAAAGGAGGAGACAAGAGAGCTAGAGAGCAGGAAGTCTTGGGAGGAGAGGATGGTTTGGGTGATATTTGGAGACAAGATTGGGGATGTAGCTTGGGGCAGAGTAAAAGGCACTGCATGTTATTGCAAATGTTTAGAATTTTGTTCACTGGGCAATGGGAAGCCAGTGGAGGGGTTGGCAGAGAGGGGTGGCGCGGAAACTGAATGATTGGTAGGGTGGATGAGTCTGGTAGCAGCAGTCATGATAGACTGAAGAGGAGATAGCCTGCGAAGAGGTATATATATATATATATATATATATATATATATATTAGCACAGTAGATAAATGGCTAGCACTTCTGCCTGGCAGTACTTAGGTCGTTGGTTGAAATCCCAGCCACGGCACCTCATGCCTGGAGTTTGCATGTTCTCCCTGTGCCTGCATGGGTTTCCTCCGGGTACTCTGGTTTCCTCCAACACTCCAAAGACATGCTGGTAGGTTAATTGGCTCCTGTCTAAATTGGCCCTAGTATGTGTATGTATGAATGTATGTTAGGGACCTTAGATTGTACACCCCTTGAGGGTTAGGGACTGATGTGAATGTACAATATATATGTACAGCGCTGCGTAAATTGATGGTGCTATATAAGTATCTGTAATAAAATATATATATATTTTAATATTTTTTCTTCTTTTTCTTCCTTGTCAGTGGCTCAGAAGTATTGAAGCCATGCAATCATCATTATCATATCAATTATCATCATACCCAGGCCACTAGCATTTTTAGAAGGGGAGGACAACAGTCTTATTCACTATGGATTACCTTTAAAAAAGTGATTTGAACATAAAGCAGACATATGTGTCTGTGTATGAATTTAACAATTTATGAATATAAAAGTTAAAAATGTGAAGTGGATTGGGTGCCATAATATAAAAAAAAAAAAGATCACAGAAAAGGAAACTGAAACACAGTCTGGGGTGTATCTGAAGGGACCTGGTGTATTGATGAAAATGCAGTCCTTAGATATGAAAAGCAACTACCTTTGACTTTTCTCTTCAGTTCTTGAAGTGATCGTATTCTGTGTTGGTGTAACTATTTTCTTTATGTATATCAAGATCTCACGTAAAACACACACATGCATCCGTCAGCTGAATGGTTTGGAGGACCCCCCCCCCCCTTCAGTGCTAGCCATTCTATTACATATTTTACTACATACCAGGGGTGGACTGACAACTCATGGGGCCCCCGGGCAATAGGGGATCATGGGGCCCCTGTGTCCTTGCCCAAACTCAAAAAAGCCTATGAAAAAGGTACCAGGGGCATCTCATGGGGCCCCCTACTGACTCTGGGCACTCGGGCAGTGCCCAAGTTTCCAAATGGTCAGTCCGCCCCTGCTACATACTGAGCTATACAAACACCTTTCCTTTATCCCTCCTCCTCTACTCTCTGCCACCCCCTATCCCTCCCTCTTCTTCTTTTTTGCCCCCCCCCCTCTCTATGTCTTCACCCACACTTTATCTGCCTTCTCTATTATCTCTGTAGGCAGATGCAATCTACTTTCTTTGCTGCAGGTGACGCTCAATCGCATTGTCATAGCAGTGGGAGAGGAAGTTGTTTCGTTGGGGTAAGAGAAATACCCCTATATGTCTTAAATGTAACTTCCATAGAGGAAACTTCAGTCATATAATCTAGCAATGTCCAAAACTCTCCCTATACTGGTCTGAGCTATCTCATTAGTCACCAAGTTGCCATACCTGCTGATCCTTTAGTGTGCTTAGCGGGTGCATTAGATACTGAACTGTATCAACCAGAAGTTTATATTATGATCTCTCAGCTCCTATATCTTGCTAGAAAATTGATCACAAGATAGTGGATGTCTTCTGCTTTTCCGACCCAAAAACAATAGGTTGATTATGTTAACTCCCTACTTCTACAAGAACAGCTTACTTACCACCATACTAATGCCCTACACAAATTTTATATGGTCTGGCAGGGTTGGCTGGACATTCCAGGTTTAACCCCACCACAGCTATGGTTAAGCTTCTCCAGGTAGAAGGCCTCTCCCTAGACCAGCCTTTCTCAACCAGGGTGCCCAGGCACCCTGGGATGCCTTGAGGTTTCTTTAGGGGTGCCTTGGCAAAACTGTCTAAAAATTGTCCAAAACTTGTATACAAACCAGCAGGTGGAACACGCCTGCCTTTTAGTTACACAAAGCCACAGATCTTCATTTTGCACCTTTACGAACTTCTAGTCACCGGCGTCCTGACAACCAATGACATCATCAACTGATAAGAAAGATGTTGGCTGCCTGTACAGCATCTTAGTTTGA